CCCAGGATGTCAGAGAAGAGCGGCATTTGGCATTTTCAGCTTTCACAGTGGGCAGATGTCTCTTCATGTCATTAGGACACGTAAGGCAGAGAACTCTCTAAACACAGGAAGGTGGTTCGTATGCTCAATGGCTAAAAGAACAGTAAATCTCCACTACATAATACACTATAAAAGTAAAGAGATTTTCATCAAAAATATAGAGGGAGGGAGGACTGTGAAAAGCAGCAGTAGTTTAGAGGGAATTATGAAGTTGGGCTGAACATAATTCAGGCAGGCATAATGCTTCCACTTACTGCAAATTATCTTTCTCTCTCCTTAAAATATTTTTCCCTTTATTATTCTCCCTAAGAGTCTCTGCTAATTGGTACATTATTGGGGGATTAACATGCTTTTCTAAAATGAAAATTCATTTTTATAATACTTGTTTTCAACTGATATGGATTAATTTGGTCATTCTGCATTTTAATTCCTGCTTCAGAAAGTGGCACCAATCCTATCTAGGAATGGATTAGAGGGAGATGAAGGAAAATGGGAGCCCTTAGGAGACCTGGATAAGGAGGTGCAAGATGGAGGGATTGGTGTATGGTGAGAGCACAAAGGAAAGCAAAAAATACAAGCATAAGACTTAAAAATTTGTTTGCAACATCGGTAGAACAGGAAAAAGATGAGAGAAAAAAAATGAATTCTTCCTTATGGACTCAAATGGACCCCAAATACGGACAATTATTACTGTGATCCAATTATCTTATAGGATACAAATTATTCCAAAATGTAAATGTTGTTTAGAAGTAGATTCTTACCATCAAGTCCCATGGAAGCACTTAGGTGGATGCTCCGTTCATCCCCAGGCGTGTGCCCCAGAGCGGCTGCAAACTCCAGGTTGGAGGCATTTACCGGCTGATGTGCTGGACACTTGCAGGAAGGTGGCCAGCTTCGGAAACAGGAGTAACTGTGCCCCTCCTCGTGGACGCTGTGCCTCACCTGTGATGTTCACGTCCTTGCACTGGCGGCGAGGAAACTGAGTCAAATTAAGCCAGCTCCAGAAAACTAAGATAATAAGTGGTGTTTATGGCATGTTTTCTGGATCCCAACCCTGCTTATTTTTCCTATCGTTTTAGTATTTACCATTGCTCTTCTCCTCTCCCCTATTAAGGAGAAAAAAAGTGTAAGCCACATTAAAATCTGTTTTTATAAGGAGGCAGGGCAAAAGTAATAAATATGCACATCGGCATTTGCTTAGGAACCTAGAATATAAATTCAAGGCACTCGCTCTTTATTCTGGTAAGACATCAGATCACAATTAAATCTTCCTCAAATTCTCTGTTGTCCTGGTAACTGCTCTCTACTTAGAACATGAGGGTGAGATTGCCCAAAAGGGTCTGAAAGAAGAGCAAGAGCTTATTAAGGAATTCTTTCTGGTGTTCATAACCACGCAAGCTGTGCCAGAATGGCAGCAGAGTTGGAGAAAAGCCGTCCTTCAAGTTATCCCAATTGTTGCGATGTATTTGGGCTTTGCTGCCGGTAAGAGGCTATATGCATTGTAATAACAAGATTGGCTATGGCACACAAAAATATTGACAATGAATAGTACTTGGGATAATCACAGATTGCAAATTCTCTTAAATGCATTTGACTCTTAACAGATATATTTAGAACTAGATGAACAGTAGCTAGGGGGGTTTCTTAAAGTGTCAAATGGTGTGAATGAATAAAGATGGTTTTAAAGGAGCCATATTGCTTAGGGATTAAGGCCAACTGGAACAATTCACTTAAAAAAAAAAAAGCCTCCAAGCTCAAGAGAGCACCTCCCCTTAATTCGACTGAGGTATACAGCCTTCAATCTTTAGGACTCATGCTGGCAGCCGGTGATGGTTTGTATCTCTCCATTTGCCCAAAGAAGTTTTTAATTGTTCATTTAAGTGGGAACTTGCAACTCTTGTGAGATAATGTTTGTAGCAACAACAAAAGAGGGGAAAAAATTTAAATAGCAGTCATTTTTATTTTGGCTTAACAGATTTTAGCAGGAGGACTCTGAATATGAATCGGCTTCATTTTTAAACCCTTAAGAGAATTTCTGAAGCAGCCCATAAGGTGCCACTTTAGTCAGAGGCAATTAAAAAGAGCCTAGAATAGCAAGAAAGAAAATCGCAAGATTTGTTCGGACACTGTAGGAGAAATAAGTTAGAAATTATATGAATTTCATTCCTATACCCTCCCTAAGTCTGTGTGCGTTTATACTCGTGCATAAAACTCTTCCGTAGGTTTTGGAGGTGGGAATGGGACAGGAGGTATGGACTAAACACTAAGAAATGTATATTGTTATGTTTTAACTGCAACAGTGGAGTGTGTTACAAGCACTTAATAGAAAGGACAGTGCAGACTTTTCCCCATCGGGGAACCGCTCTTCTCAAGAGTTGAATTCTAGTCCTTCCTTGATAATTTGGGTGCATTAGAAAAAAATAAATATGTATTAGAACTTTTCCTCTCTAGGTATTTTTTCTGCATGGTTCTTAAGGATAAAGTTATTTTTAAAGTCAAATTCTTTACAATACAGAGTGACTTGGACACTCTTAGAAACATGGCTTCTCAAAGTGAAATATCAACAGCGGATACCCATGGATTTCCTACATGTACCATTTTTAAAGTAGCCTGCACCATATTCTTCTAGCCTGTGAAAAAGCTAGCTAATGATGAATAAAACTAATTAGTATAAAATAAGACCGTATCTGCATGGTAGCTGCTCACAATGTGGAAAATAACTTTTTCATGGCCTATTTTCTCTTAAAATGTATGCCCTTTCCCATCCCTAATGTGTTCTGTATATGTAAAATACTCTTCACAGCAGGACCCAGGCTTGGAGGCCTTAAAACCCAGTAAGAGAATCCTGTAGTTTAATGGTCCTTAAACGCTCAACATCTTTTTCACTTAATGTAAAATCCATCTGATCTAATAGCTGTGACTGAATTATAGATATCTAATTTTTTTCTATTAAATGTTAATCTTCTGACTTGGCAGAGCAGTAGAAGCTCTAAATTATTAAAAAGGCAATAACCTCTCTAAACTCTTTCCTGAATTCTGAATATTCCCAGGGCTGCTATCTTGAAAAAAAAATTGCAAACCTGTTTAAAATATAAAAACCAGGCCCATTAAGTACAAGAATTTGATGCCATATATCAATTATAGGGGGCATTATTTCAGTGACGTCTCTTCTGTTATTTCCCCAAATGGTATGTACATACACACGTACACAAAATGGGGAGAGCAGCCCTCACAAACCTTGGCTCTTTTTCATTTACATGACATTTTTGTGACCTTCCCATTTTGACTGAGCTCCTTCATCCTCAGTGTTCGTTCATGCAGGCATAAATGATGAACATGCCCTCTAGCGTGTAAGCGATGGCACATGCACGATCATGCAAACGCACGTGCTCTCACTGCCTGGGAGTCTCACTGGAAACGCCATCTCCGCTGCAGCTTCAGCCTTCGCTTTTTTTCTACCTCTACAGTCATGGCTCTTATGAGCCAAGGGCCCATATATGTAGTAAGAAACAGAAGCCATGCTGAGAAGCAGGTTAAAATTTACCTGGAGAGGCTGTTCTAGACAGTCTAGTTTCAAATACCTAAGGCCAAAACAGGCGAAAGAATTTCCCACGGCAAAGTCACAGATCAGTTTAGTCAGGGACATCACTGAACACAACAGGAGCTGAAATAATCTATTTTCCATTTTCTGTTTTGTGCACATGACATATTTTTGGTGCTATTTGTTTTTTCCTCTTTCTGAAAATTACCACTTTTAGCAGCCAAGAGTAAGGTCCAGGTCATTGTTTTTTTTTCTGGCAGATATGTGCTACCATACATTGCATGCTCACCAAAGGTAATCTTTCAACCCTTATATTGGTGCCAGAGGCACCACCATTACTTTGATGCGATTTATAAGAAGAAAATAGATTGCAAGGTTGCAGAGCCCAATGATGAGGAAAATAAGAGTCGATAGGAAGGAGTTTTCTTCTACCATAGTTAAACAGATGTCAAGAAAAGCTTGTAACCAGTTGCTATCTAATGTCTGGCATTAGTGTAAGCAGGCATTGATATATTTAGTCATCATGGACACCAAAAATTAATTTGAGACTCTTTTCCCTTTTCTACTTTGCAACAAGTAAACCAAGAACATGAACCATTCAGCCAGGTAAGAGGCATGTGTATGAGAACAGTTTCCAGGTCCTGGAAGGAAGGAAACTGTTGGAAAAAAAGCTGGTAACCCCCGGTGGTTAAATGCTCATGTTTTCAAGCTGCAAGACTTTTAAAGCAGCAATGATCCAATGCACTTAAAATAAAAGAACATTTCAAACTATATAACATTTGTTTAGGGTCAAGAGAAAAGGTTTAAATAAAAAGCAAGCATTAGAAAGATGAAGCTAAATTTGTCTGGGATCTAGAACAGTGCAGAACAGCTAGCAATTATAGTCACTACAATATTAAAATTTAAGATGTTTATTGCATAAATATTTGACTTTAATAGTTCTTTATATCATTGATCTTCTGTCAAAAGGAATGAGCTTTTCTGATGAAGCAAGAGTGATAATAAAAAAACTAAACAATAGAAGAGTAATCCTTTTCAGCAAAGGACTGTACTCCCATCGTAATTCAGTAATTCTTTCAGAGCACTCACACGTTAGACAGAACTAATCTCCCTTCCTCCTGGCCGTAAATGCTGATCTCAGTTTACTTTCTGAACACAGAGTAGCAGAGAGACCAGCGTCTCCCATTATATATGGTCCACTTGTTTACTATCTAAAACGCTTTAGCCTTCAGTGCTATAAATGCAATCTCTGACTTTGATATCAAACGGTGAGTGGATAGGACGGTCCTCCACACAGCTGACTACAAGGTAATGTCATTTTTGTACTTTGGGCCCCATCGTTCTCTGTACCCAATTCTCCAAAGACAGCAAATGGACTAGTTTACCTTGTAAATCTTTTACAAGGATGTTCAAAACAGTATTCCACAGAAAACATTTTATTGATGGTTGAAAACAAAATAAAATATACATAAGGTTCCCTCCCCACCCTTAATAAGGAAAATATAACACTGAAATGTAAGTATTCAGTTAATAACTTTCTCTATTCTTCAACAGGTGACCTAAATAAAACTTATGAAACAGAATTCAGCATTAAATATAAAAATTAAGGAATCCAAATATTGCTTATGTAAACTCTGTGTATCTACCGAAAGAATTAAAAATATATCCAGTTCTGACTTTTTACTGTTGTTTTTACATGGAAGAAATACCATGGCTTATTGTTTGGTGGGTGAAGCTATTTTTGAGGGTCCTTTGTCCTTGTGATTATACAAAAATGGGATGAAAAATCTGATTCAGGATACTCAGATTATTGCTAAGTCACATTCTGCAATTTAAAAAAAAGGGCTGAAATAATTCATTTGTTCAGTTTATTTGCTAGCAAACTAATAATTTTCAATCTGAACGGTAAATAAAATATTAATAAAAATAACAAAACATAAACTTTCCTTATGAGGTGTAGTTAATAAAAATGGTTGGTTAGAATATTTACTATATTTTACTATCTTCTTACTTTCCACATTCTTAGAGTTTACTATATTATTGCATTTTTGTTTAAAACCTTCAAGACACTTTCTAAAAACAATTCTGTAATGCTAACTTTGCAAGAAAACTGCATTTCACATTATTAACCTCATTAGTGCAACTTTCCTATAAATAAGTACAAAACATTTGGAGGATGCATGTATAATGAGTGCTTGGTTACTATAGAAGCAAATGTCAAAGTAATTGCTAAAAACATCTAAAACTTTTGACACCAAAAACTCTAGTATACCATTTATCATACATTTCTCTAAATACTGTGGCAAGAACCATCACCACAAGTAAAAATTAAGATACTGTCGTAGAGATACGAGGCAATTTTTAAGATCAATTTTTGATATAGTCCAGCCTTGCCTTTTCTTAATCTAAATGTAATTTAGCACTGCAAACCATTTCTGAAGAGAAATTGATTTTAAAAAGCATAAAAATTACTAGTGTAAGAAGAAAAAAATATGTACCTCCAAAAGAAGTCAAAGGCACTCGTAAAGTTACTTCAACAAAAATGCAACTTGGCCAGCCAAGTTATAGTGCATTCCTTGAAACCGAATCAGGTCTCATGGCTGGACTGAAGATCTGAAAGGTCATTTGATCCACTTAACCAAATTAGTTTCTCCAAAAGAAATCTTTAAGCAGTTATTTTGACCTATCCCCTCTTCATAAGGACCAACTCAGATGGTTCATATTTTATTAGGGACTCAACAGTTTAAAAATACATAGCTAATCCAAGACAAGGGGTTTTGTTACTTGCCTAACTGTAAAATTAACATATATAGAACATAAGATTTGAACTGACACTGAAAAACTCCGTAACATATCATCTAATTAAAAGAATCTTCTGATGGAGCAAAATAATTTTATTTCCATTATTGTAGCACAGTAAGGTCCCGAAAGGCCAAGGAGCTGCCCGCAGAATGCTCAGCACCAGCAGGTAAAGCGGACACCGGCCAGTGGGTGCCGACCACTAGCACACAAGCCCTCGCCGCATCTGTATGATCTGCAGCAAGGCTGCCTGCACATCTTCATCCATGTGACCCTTGAGAGAAAGAAGAAAGGGGAGGAATATTTTATGTTATGTTCATTTACACAAGAATTCTAAAGACAAAGGCTTTATCATAAGCCTAACTGGTTGTGATTCACCAAATGCTAAATCCTCACCATCACGGTGATATTCTAAAGGATTTACTGGAAAAAGGAACAGAGCTCTATCATGGAAATAAAGAAAATCAATTTGGAAGTAGTACACAGCAATTGCTCTTAACATCTATATCAGAAAACAGACGGACAAACTTCTCTTTCACTTTTAGAAATTGCTTAGAATATAGAGGCAGCATAAGTTATAGATGAGCAAAGTAAACTACAATTATTTTCCCCTTATTAGTTTTTTGTAATAAGAAAATGAATGAAAAAAATCTCCATATTTGTATTTCTTATAAAAGGGATCATATATATTATTTTGCAACTTTCCTTTTTACCTAATGTCATAAAATATTTCCCAAGTTATTTTTCCAATTATTTTAAGTTATTATATAACATCCTACTGTATGGATGTATCATAATTTCTTTACTCAATCCCCCAGTAATGGATGATTAAGATGTTTCCAGTCTTCATGGGCAGATTCCTAGAGAAGTTGTTACAGGGTCAAAAACAGGCTCAATTTTCAATTTTGCTAAATTTACAAAATCTATAGACATTATAACAATTTACACTCCCACCAACAGGATATAAATGCGTATTTCCCACAATACCCTGGCCAACATTATAGATTATCATCTTGTTTATAAATTATCATCTTATTTAATATTTGCCAATCCCATGGGTGAAAATGGTACCTCCTTGTTTATTCACATTCCCTCCATTACTGGTGAGGTTGAGATCTTTCTACAGGAACGTTAGCCATTTACATTTAGAAAGAAACACTTTAAACTTAAAATGTTGGCAAGAGGTTGATTAAATGCAAGTCAATGCAACACCTCCTTCCCCTTTTCTTTGCTTGAGCACTAGAATAGGTTTCAGTGTAACACTCCCTATTAATATAGGTTTCAGTATAACGCTCCCTATTAATATAGGTTTCAGTATAATGCTCCCTATTAATATAGGTTTCAGTATAACACTCCCTATTAATATAAAGTTTTGCTTCCAAAATCTGTTTCTATAACAGTAAGATGTTTAAATTTCAAACATTAGCCATAGTTGACTAAACTGAATTTCTTAGTTCACTTTATGATGCCAGAAGGCAAGACTATTTCAAATGCCAGTTGGTTTTCTTCTGTTTCATTAGGAGTCAGAAGAAAATAATTCCAAATTTGGAGGCACACACTGTACAAAGCGGGAAAGCTTGTTACTTTGCAGTGTCTTTTGGCCAGAGCATGCTCGTCTTCCCGGGCTAGTATCAGACCCGACTGAGTTCCCCACCTTCTCTAATACAGGCTTCCTACACTTCTCTATTTTCCTCTCCTGGAAGTCCCATTCCACTGTCCATCAATAGTCTCTAATAATTGCAATATACTTTCAAATCTCAGCTTATTTTCTATCTACTCAAAAGAATGTAGTCAAAGATATTTTCTTTCCTCGTACTATTCACTCTCTTCCACTGGTTTCCCCCTCTTCTCATACAGAAAAGGCAGGCTTTTTGATTTTAAGAACTCAATGTTATAAAGCTTCTTCCCTTTTGTTTTACCTAGTTTTTTAAAAAAAATGACCTTCTTTGAAGCTTTCTCTTAGCATCTGTCCTTTTTTTTAACCGTGTGGCCAGAAACTTCAAAATCCTAAACAATTCCTATTTTATCTCACCTGCCATTCTAATATTTTCTCTTTCAGGACATCTTCCTAAAAAATCTATCTGAGAATTTCTGGGATGCTGATCATGGGTTTCTAGAATGCATTAAGTATAGTATGGAGGTATAATCATACTAAAAATTTTTTTATCCTTTCTCACTACACCTCCAAAAAAGGGAATTCTTAAGCTTATGCTTCACTGAGAATAAGACTCAATAAGTAAATATGACTGATAATTTTCTAACAGAACCATTTTTTTTCTCAAATTATTACATTCCTGTATATACCTTGTCTTTTTTTGCACTTTTGTAGTATTCTCCACATTTCAAAGAAATACTCTTAAGCTCCGAAGAAACAAATTCTGCTCTCCTCTTTTAACTGACAACATGTGTGGATGGCAAGGCACTATCTCCAGCTAGCGACACCACTAACGTGTTCTGCCATCACATGTTGCCAAACTGTCTATAAAATGAGTGACAGGCAGATGGAGGGAACACTAAATTTAAGATGTTGTGTTGTCATATAGCTTTGTAAATTTCTCTGGGAGATATGCAAGCCATGATTAAAAGAAACACAATTATTTTTAAATAAGCATATGGGGTACAACTACTTTAAACATCAATGACTTTCACAGAAATTTACTTGAAAATTAAAAAAAATTTACTGCAAAATTACTCCTTTCCAAAGGAAAAATAGTTCTTTACCTGCGCAGCACTAAGAAGGTGTGTCCGATAAATGGCTATTACCTCTTGATGCCGTCTGTCAGCATCCTGGAGATGTGGGAAGACGGACAGACCAGAGAGTGAGCATTCATGCATTCAAACACACGGAAACTTAGGACGATGCTGTCTTCAGGGCTGATGCTAAGAACAGTGGTATTATTAAAGTGCCCCCACTACATCTTCTGACAGACTACCCTGGACTCACCAGATGCACAATTCTATAGCATTACAATAGTATAAATTTTTCTAATGAATGTGTGGGAACATTCATAGCAAAAGCAATGCCACTTACCCTAGGTAACATGAAATTATTGCCTTAGTTCACCACCACATTATCTAGACACTCACTAACTTACACTTTGTATTACTGCTTCCCATCTTGTCTCCTGGCCTCTAGGCTTTACTCCCTTATAATGTTTCTAAGACTGAGACAGCTCTTTCCTCATATCACTTTTGGCTGAGAAACCTTGGGTGACAGACACGTCGTTATATGTAAGAGAGAATCTAAATTCATCAGCTTGATTCTCAACAGCCTCCACCATTTGGCTGCAAATACAACTCCTGTTACTGGCCAGGCTGATCAACACTT